CTTGGTGGATTCTTGCTGCTTTTGGCCCCGTGGGATAACGTCCTTAGCAAGGTTAATCAGACGGAGGATTGCCATTGCCATCCTCTGAAACTGAGAGTATGTGACTTGCCCAAGGTCAGCCAGTGGGTTTACATGGCCAAATGGGGATTCGAACCCTGGTCTCCAGAGTCACAGTCCAACGCTCAGACCACTGCACCACACTGGTCTCTACACTGTTATGTCTCCCAGTGATTCAAACTTGGTCATCCAACTTTATCAAATGCTTGTAAGATGTCCCAGGTTCTCTTTCATGGGCATCATTGGGGGTGACTCCATTGCTCCCCAAACATCTGCCTTTGGGCACGACTCTCGAGAAACCCACAAACTAGTTTTCAACCAAGAGGGACACCCAGAAATTTTGATTCTGGGTTCCCTTACAGCATCTGTGTTTTTGCAAGAATCAAATGCATAACTGACAAAATTATTACAAAATAAAAGAGAGAGAGAGAGAGAGAGAAAGCCCAATTCTAACAATACTGTACTGTTCTCCCTCTTTTCCTCCCATTTCTTCAGACAATGGACAAGTCTACACCATAGACTGAAACTGGTTTAACAACAGCTGCCTCCCAAGCCTCAGGACCTTGTAGACTATATATATATATATATATATATATATATATATATATATATATGAAGAAATTGCTCAGGATTTTCCAGTTAGCCGAACATGCTCAACACCTCCAGCAAAATTATAATCCCCAGGTTTCTTTGCAGGGTAAGCAATGAAAGTTACTCTGGAATAAAGCCAAATGGTTTAAACTTTACAAATCTAAACTAGGATAAAACTGGACTAGTGCAACTAGGATAGTTAAGTTTATATAGTGATCAAGTTTCCAATATGCAAAGAATCCAGATGGTAAAGACCCTGTTAACCAAAACTGCAATCCAATACCGCACCACATCTTTATAGCACTATTATTCCACTTTTACTGCTATAGCTGCCTCCTGTGGCATTCTGTGGCAGTTTAGTGAAGCCTAAGAATACTCTGGCCGAGAAGTCTAAATGCCCTTCCCTAAACTAGAAATCCCAGGATTCCACAGGAGGCAGCCACAGCAGTAAAAACGGAATAGTGGTATTATAACAGTGTAAAGACCAATGTGGTGCTGTGGTTGGAGCATTGGAGTAGGATTTGGGAAGACCAGGGTTCGAATCTGAGCTCGGCCACGTAAACCCTCTGGGTGACTTTGGGCAAGTCACACTCTCTCAGCCTCAGGGGAAGGCAATGACACCACCCCTCTGTTGAAACGTGCCAAGAAAACCTCGTGATTGGTTTGCCTTAGGGTCGCCATATGTCAGAACCAACTTGGAGGCACAAAACAGCAACAACAACAACGACAAAGGTGCTACAAGCAAGAAACTCAAGCTGTATTTGGAAAGGATGACAAGAGGAGGGTGTTTTTTTCCTCCGTGAAAAATGTCCGCATGAGGAAAAGTCTTTGTGGCACAAAAAAAGCAGAGGTTGCAGCTGTCCATGGAGAAGGCCAGGAGCCGCACCCAGCTGCAGCAACAGATGGACCCCAACAATTATTTGGTGGCAAGCAAGGCATATGTGTGTGTGTATGTGTGCTATTTGCACAGGATGGAGAGCCAAGTTGGAGCAAGCCGGCTTTGGAAATCCACGTTTATTTGTGGACAGGAATCTTTTTAAAAGAGTCTGCCTTAACATATGGCTGAAGCTCCACAGATTCTCGCTCTGTGTCATGGAACCCCACTGTGCGAATCCTGCCCACTTCCCATCTGTAGCTTTCCTTTCTCTGCTCCGGATTCAGAGTCCAAAGTTAGCTTCCCGCAAACTGTGTCAATGGACTTTTTTGCAGACAAACTGTAAACCAGGAAGACCAAAAGTCTGAATTCCTCTTCAGCCATGGAGCTCACTGAGCTGATGATCCTAATGATCCTGTTCATTCATCATTTCTCAGCCCAGCCTATTTCCTGGGGTTGCTGATAGGAATAGATAAATGGCTGAGATTCTGGATCAGGA